GCTCTCCCGGTTCTCCCATCCCGTGCCCCGGACTGGGGTGCCGCTCTGGGCTCCCGGCCCGGTGCTGGGCACCGGTTTGTGCTCACCTGGATGTGGAGCCGGGCCCTGGTGAGGAGGCTGAGCGTGGTGTGGCGCCCGGCCGCCGCGCCCAGCGGCACCAGCCCCTTCAGCCGCTCCAGGCACAGCCGGAGCTGGGCACGCCTGCAAGGGAGCACGCGGCGCCTCAGCTCCCCAAGGGCATTCCCAGCCCAGCTGCCGGGAGCTGACCCCGAGCAGGAGCCTTCCCGGCCTCCACGGGCTCCAGGAACCGGGAGGGAACCGCACCAGGCAAAAGGACGCCTTGGGAAAACCTCCTGGAAAAACCCTGCTGGCACCCCGGGCTGCTGGGGCCATGCCAGGCAATGAGATGCCAATGGCCTCGGGATTCTGGGTGGGAATGGCCACTTTTGGTCGTTCTCTTCCATCCCAGGAGTGCTGTGGGGCTCCTGCTGACAGCTGAAGCTGCCCAGGCTAACACCCAGCTGCAAATCCCTTGGGAGTGCTTCCTTTCCCTCTTTTCAGTAGGAACGGGGTGGTTTTGGGTACAAAAACCACAGATCCCTGCAGGAGCACTGGCTGTGCTCCAGGAATCCTCCCCCTTCCTCTAACATCTGGGTTTTCTCTGCTTTAACAGGTTAATGCAGGAGGGAGGCTCCAGCTCCTCGGGGAAATCCCTTTTTGTGCTGAAAAAAGCTGGGGTGCTCCCAGCACAGCCCAGTTTCCCTGGGTCCATTCCCAATCCCAACATGTAGGTCAGATCCTCGGGAAGGGGTTGTGACACCCATCCCGGGCAGCTCCAAAGGGATTTTGCAATGACCTGCTGGTCTTGTTTGGGACACGCTGGGAGTCAACAGGGATTTCCTCACCCAAAGGGCCTCGGGATGACAACACAGGCAAAAAAAGTGGGATTTGCTCGGGATAAATCCCAGACTGGCTCAAAGATGAGCCTGTGAAAAGATCATTTTCCTGAATAAGCAGAGCTGTGGAGCTTCCCAACAACCAGGAACAGGGAATGCTTTAATCCTTGGTGTCCTTTATCCCATTCCTTCCCTGCCAAGCCATCTCAGCATGGTGGAACACCCCTGGAGAAGCAGAAATTCCCCCCAGCCCGGCTCCTGACAACCTCTGGCACTCACCTGTTCTTTTCCATCTCATTGTGTGTCGACCTGGAAGAGAAGGAAGAAGTTATTAATTCCTCTGCCTGATTAGAGATTACCAGTTGGGATTAACATGTGGGAATTAGCAAAGGCTCCCTGGAAAAACTGCAGACCCGGGGGGCTTCCAGGGATGGTGAGGGGCAGGATGCAGGCGGGCAAGTGGCAATAAAAGGGTCAGGAAAACCACGAAATGGGATTTTAAACCAGACACCCAAGGTTTAGAGCTGGGATTGGGATCAGCAGCTCAACCCTGTCCCTCAACCCAGGAACACAAATTGGAAACAGCCTTCCCTGTGTCCAACAGCTGAGAGCAGCTCTGGAGGAGACCCCAGACACATTGAGCCCACAACAAATCCCCCTGAAGCTCCCAGCTCCCACAGAGCTGGGAGAAGGTGGGAAGCACAAGCCAGGACTGATTTTCCCTCCACTGAAATCCAGGAAGAAGCCACAGGAGGCAAATTCCCAGGAATGGTGCTCAGGGAAGAGCTGCTTCCCTGCCCACTGACTCCCTAAAACCTCCAGCGGCCTCAAGAAGCTCCACTCCAATTTGGTAAAAAAATGTTGTTGTGTGCCTGAAAACTGAAATGTGGGAATAACCCAGAGGCTGTTTGGATGAGGATGTAAACTGGGATGATCCCACAGGATCTGGGAGTTCTGGAAAACCAGGGATGTCATCAAAGGGAAAACCAGGGATGCCACTGAAGGGAAAACCAGGGACGTCACCACCACAGCAGTGGGAGATGCTCTCTGAGGTCTCCTCCCCTTTTCCAGCAGCCTTTCCTGATGGATCACCCCGCTCCCGTGGCTCTGCTGGCATTTTGGCCACAGCTCCCAGGAATGTCCCCTTCCCACTCCAGGGGGATTGTCCTGGCACACTGCAGGGCTCAGCTCCTCGGCTCCTGGGCAGTGGCTGCACTCAGTTTCTCCCTGGATCAATCTGCACGTCTCACCCAGCCCTTCACCAATGGGCTGCAGCTTCATGAGCTTTTCCCTGGATTCTAAATTATCCAAACACTTGCTGAGCACAGGTACAGACAGGGCTGAGGCTCCCATCACCTCCACAATCCTGAACTACAAATTCATCCTCTTTTCTGCCTGGATCCTCCCTGGAAGGGCTGCTTTCTCTTCTGGACTTGCATTCCCCATCACCAATATTTAGAGGGGAAAAAAAAAAAAAAAGAATGAATTGATGGGTTTAAATTCTGGATAAAATAAACACGGACAGAGGGGATGGAAGCTTCACCCTGGGGCAGGTGGAGCTCCCACATCCTCTCCAAAGCCACAGAGCCACTGGTTTGGATTCCCACCGGTCTGAACACCAGCTTTCCCCCTGGAATGTGCTTTTTATTCCTGAAAACCACAACAAAATTGGCCTGAAGCGAACCAAAAATCCCGGAAGGAAACCCGGAGCATGTCCGGGCAGGACAAAGCCCCGGTAATTCCCGGGAGCCCGTTTGATTCTGCCGCCCCGGCCCCGGGGATCACGAAGCAAAGGTCGGCGGCGGTGGCGTCGCGCCGGCGGGAGCAGAGAAGGGTGACAGATGTGCTGCCACCGGCACCGGCTCCTCCCGGGGTGACAGAGGTGCTGCCACCGGCACCGGCTCCTCCCGGGGTGACAGATGTGCTGCCACCGGCACCGGCTCCTCCCGGGGTGACAGAGGTGCTGCCACCGGCACCGGCTCCTCCCGGGCACCGGGACGGGGCTGCCGCCCCTCGGAGCGTCCCCGGGCTGGGGACACGGCCTGCAGCCGGCCCAGGGCAGGGGGATCCCGGCTGGAGGGGGGCAATGAGGGCTCCGGGGTGTGGGGTTCGCCCCTGGAATTCCGTGTGGGAATTCAGGAGCACGATGTGGGCCCCAGCTCGGAGGAAAGGGGGGGCAGGATTTCAAAGCAGCCAGGAGCCAGAGGGAGGAGGGAGCAGGCAGGGCTAAGGGGGGGCTCTGGGTGGGATTTGGGGCTCTGGGTGGGATTTGGGGCTCTGGGTGGGATTTGGGGCTCTGGGTGGGATTTGGGGCGCGTTGGAATTCAGGGGGTGACAGGAGGGTCCCCTCCAGCCCCGCCAGGGCCTCTCCGGTCACCCCGGGACAGAACGGTCCCACCCACGGTGTCACACCCGCTGACAGGCGGACTTTGGTGACAGCAGAGCCACACCCAGTCCTGCCCTGCCCGGTGACAGCAGGACAGCCGTGACAGCCCCCGAGCCGGGACACCGGGGACAGCTGTGACAGCCCCCGAGCCGGGACACCGGGACACCGGGGACAGCCGTGACAGCCCCCGAGCCGGGACACCGGGGACAGCAGGGTCCCCAGCCTGTCACCTCCCGGGGACACGAGGAGCGCCCTGTGCCCCACACACCCGGGGACAGGAGGTGTCCCCGGCCTTGTGACACCGCAGGGACGGCGGGGGCCCCACCGGAGCTCGGGACCGGGTAGCCGGCCCGGCCCGGTGCCCGGCCCGGTGCCAGCCGGGCACAGGAGCCCCGGGCCTGTCACCACCGGGGGCCACAGGGACCTCGGCAGCGCCACGGCAGGAGGGAGCCCCGGCCCTGCCGCACACCCGGGGCCCGTCCGAGCGCGGGGAGCGGGGCGGTCCCGAGGCCCGGGAACGGCGGCCGCACCGGGCACCGGACACGGCGGCCCCGGGCCGGTCACCCCGCCCGGGGGCTCAGCGGGCCGGGCCGCGCGGGGCCGGAGCTGCCCCGGCCGGGCCCCGCAGCCGCCGGGCCCGCTCGGGCCGGTCCCCCCGCCCCGCCCGGTGCCGCCGTCACCTGCCGCCGCCGCCGCCGCTCCTCCGGGCCTTGGCGCGGCGCCGCGGGGCCTCGCCGTCCTTCCCGCCGGGCCACAGCGAGGCGTAGCCGTGCTCGGCTTCTGCGGAGACACAACGGCGGGCGCGGGTCACCGCGGGGCCCGGCCGGGGGCACCGGCGGCACCGGGCAGTGGGGGGGGGGCGCGGGGGGTACCTCGCTCCCGCCGCTCCAGGAACTCGGCGGCCTCCAGCAGCATCTGGATGCCGAGGCGGGGGGCGGCGGCCATGGCGGGGCCGGGGCCGGGAGCGGGGGCGGCCGCGGCGGGGCCGGGACGGGACCGGCGCCGGGGGGGGAGCGGCGGCCTCTGCCCGCCCCGAGCGCCGCTCCGCCAGACCCCGCGCGCGCCACGCCCCCGCCGCCGCTCATTGGCCCGGACGGGGACAGGCCCCGCCCATCCCCGCCGCTGATTGGGCGGAGAGGAGAGGCCACGCCCAGCACCTCCACGAGCGGCGGGGCGGAAGCGTGGCCGCGCCTGAGGACACGCCCCCCGCTCGCTGCTATTGGACGGGAGCGCCACGCCCTCCTGCTATTGGCCCGGCCCCTCCTGCGGCGCCCCGCCCACGCGGCCGGCCCCGCCCCCTGGCCGCACGCTCTGCCCTGACTCACTTCCTGCCGCTCAGCCAATGGCGAGGCCGGACGGGAGGGGGCGGGGCCTCGGCTACGTCGGGCGACGTACGCACGGACCGGGACCGGGACCCGGAACCGGGACCCCGGGATGGGAACCGGGAACCGGGACCACCGGACACGGACCCCCGGGACGGGGACCGGGACCCTGGGACGGGGACCGGGAACCGGGGACCCGGGAAACGGGACCACCAAACACGGACCCCCGGGATGGGGACCGGGACCGGGAACCGGGATGGGGACCGGGACCACCGGACAGGGACCCTCGGGATGGGGACAGACCCCCCAGGACAGGGACCCCCACAGGGCTGGGACCCCAGGGCTCACACGGGATTAAGCTGATCTGAGGCGTTTCCAAGGATTTCTGGGAGGGGGACTGGAGGCCCTGCTGTATCTCTGAATGATAAAAATTAAAGGAAAAAATACATCTGGGGTTTTATTAACAGGGAAACAAACCAAACCCAGGGAGAACACTGCAAAATCCCAGCCAGAATCTGACCTCTGTTGTAAAACAACAACAACAAACATCTGGGAAACGGAAACTGGCGGCAGCTCTGGCTGTGGGATTTGTTGGGAGTAACCCGAATTCCGCTGGAATCCAGCACGGGAGCCAGCCAGGAGAGTGCAGGGAAGCGAAATCCTTCTGGAGCCGTGTGCCAGGTCAGGCGATGAAATCCAGGGGCCTGTTGAATCCTCCTTTTCTGTTCATGTACTGCCTGTGCGAGGATGGAGCCAGGCTCAGCCCCGGGTCCAGGGAAATCAGGACACAACCGCCCCGGGAGGCTGGCAGCGGGGCTCAGCACCTCCAACTCCCCATGGATTTAACCAAAGAAGGCTCCCAACAAGGAGCTGCCCCAGAGGAGCCCAGGTTGTCGTCACAAAGGGAGCAGAATTGATAATCTGGGTGTTTTTTGGGAATAAACCAGTGAGCGGTGTCGTTCCCGCTGCTCTGATCCTGTCCAGGCCTCGCTGGGCACATCCCACCCGTTCCTAAGCTGCTCCTCACTGCTCTTCCCCCTCATTTCCCTGTTCCAGAGGGATCTGCAGAACTCTCACCTCTGCTTTTGAGTCTAAACCTCACTGAGCTGCCGTTTTCCCCTGATTTCACTGGAGCACGGTGAGACCGTGGCCACAGCTGCCCCACAAACCAAACTCCCCTTCCCACCCCAACAGGGGACACACCTGTACTTCCTCTTCTGGGACACGTTGATGGCGTAGGCATTGGCAGCGCCGTCCACCTTCTTCCCCTGGGGAGAAAAATCCCAAAATCCCACGGATTATCCCCAAACAGGGCAGCTGACACCGCAGAGCCCCCGGAGCGGCGCTCACCTTGGTGGTATCAAAGGAGGCAAAACCCATCATCTTCATCATCTCGATCTCCTCCTCTGTCTTGCCCTGTAAATCCTCCTCTGGGGGAAGAAAACAGGGGACTGAGCAAGCACAGATGTTGGAATTCCCAAAAATCCGGGTGGCCCTGGGCTGGTCCTGGCCCCGCAGGGCACCTGGGGGTGCTCCAGGAGGAAAATCCCCCCTCACCTGTGATCTGCCGCTCCTTCTTGGAGTCCTTGAGCTCCTTCTTCTCCTCATCCCGGCGCTCCTTGGGCCGTGCTGGCGACGAGGAGCTGGAGCGGTGCCGGCGTGGGGACCTGCTGGGGCACACGAGCTGGGGCTGCCATTCCCAGCTGGATCCCCCTGGAATCCCAGGGGAGCTGGAGCTGCCATTCCCACCTGGAATTCCAGGGGAGCTGGGGCTGCAATTCCCTCCTGGAATCCCAGGGCAGCTGGGGCTGCCATTCCCACCTGGAACCCCCTGGAATCCCAGGGGAGCTGGGGCTGCAATTGCCACCTGGAACCCCCTGGAACTCCAGAGGAAATGGGGCTGCAATTCCCACCCAGATCCCCCTGGAACTCCAGAGGAAATGGGGCTGCAATTCCCACCTGGAATCCCAGGGGAGCTGGGGCTGCAATTCCCACCTGGAGCTCCTGCTGTCCCCAAGTCACCCAAGGTGCCCTCAGCTAGCTGTCCCCACCCCACGGTGGTGTCCCTGCCATCACCTGCATGTCCCCACCCTCACCTGGACAGTCCCACCCTCACCTCCACGGTCCCTGCCCTCACCTGGATCGTCTCCGGTGCGGGGAGCGGGACCGGCTCCTCCTCCTGTCCCTGTCCCGGGACCGGGATCGCTCCCGCCGCCGCCTGTCCCTGTCCCGGGACGTGGAACGCGAGCGCCGGCGCTCTGCCCGGGGAAGGGTCAGCTGCTGCTCCCTCCCGCTTCCCCAGGAAATCCCACAGAAAACCCCACAGAAAGCCCCGGGACAGCCCTTCCCACCCCTCCGGGACAGCTCTGGGCTCACCGACCCCTCTGGGCACCCCCAGGAGATGGGGAAGGAGCAGCAGGAAAAATCTCCGGTGGAGCTGGGGGGAACCACCCAGGGGGAAATCACCCGGGGGGCTCAGCCAGGAGGGGGTGATGAACCCAAAAACCTGAGCAAGGTGGAGAGGGGTGGCAGGAGGAGAGGAGAGGAGAGGAGGAGAAGGAGAGGAGGAGGAGAAGAGGAGGAGGAGACGAAGAAGAGGGGAAGAAGATAAGGATGGGGAGGGGGGGAAAGAGGAAAAGGAGAGGAGGAAGAGAAGAAAGCGGAGGAGAAGGAAAACAGGATGAGGAGGAAAAAGAGGAGGATGAAGGACCCACTCTCTCTGTGCTCTCACAGAACCGGGGGCTGCCCGCCCTGGAGGGTCTCAGTGGCCCCCGCCCTGTCCCGCTGAGCTCCCCCGGTGTCCCCGGTCCCCCCGGTGTCCCCGGTCCCCCCGGTGTCCCTCACCCCGCCGCGGCGGTGACCGGGAGCGGCTGCGGCCCATGGCCGCCGCTCAGCCCCGCTGCTGCTCCCGCGGCGGGGCCGGCCCGGCACCGGCACCGGCACCGAGACCGGCACCGAGGGACCGGGACCGGCACCGGCACCGAGGGACCGGCCCGGGTTCGCTCAGCGCCGCATCGGCCCGGTCCCGCCGCTCGCCCCGAGAGCGCGCCCAGGCCGGGAGGAAGAGGAGGGACGGAAGGGGAGGGAGGGAGGGAGGAAGGCGGGGCCGCCACCGGCATCCGCAGCCCGGCCCGGTCCGGTCCTTTTCGGTCTCTTTTCTTCCCGTTCCCGGCCCCGCGCCGCTTTCCCGGTTCGGGTCCCCGCGTTCAAGCGGCGGGCGCGGCTCGGTGCCGGCCGGAGCCCCAAACGTGCCGGGCCGTGCCTGGGTTCGGTAGCCGGGGGGTCCCGAGGGGTCTCGGGAAGCTGCTGGAACCGTCCCGGTGTCCGGCACAGCCGGTGCCCGCGGCTCCGGGACGTTCCCGTGAGGGCTCCGAATGGGGGAGTCCCGTTCCTGAGCCACGGCACCGTCCTGACCCTGAGCCCGTCCCTGTCCCACCCCACCATCCCCTTCCCATTCCATTCCCACCTCGATCCTGTCCCACCCCACCATCCCCTTCCCATTCCAGTCCCAATCCCCATTCCATTCCCACCTCGATCCTGTCCCACCCCACCATCCCCTTCCCATTCCAGTCCCAATCCCCATTCCATTCCCACCTCGATCCTTTCCCACCCCATCATCCCCTTCCCATTCCATTCCCACCTCGATCCTGTCCCACCCCATCATCCCCTTCCCATTCCATTCCCACCTCGATCCTGTCCCACCCCATCATCCCCTTCCCATTCCAGTCCCAATCCCCATTCCATTCCCACCTCGATCCTGTCCCACCCCATCATCCCCTTCCCATTCAAATCCCAATCCCCATTCCATTCCCACCTCCACCCTATCCCACCCCCATCATCCCCTTCCCATTCCCAGCCCCATCCGAATCCCAATCCTCATTCCATCCCATCCCCATTCGAATCCCAGTCCCCATTCCATTCCCACCTCCATCCCCATCCCATCCCTCACCCCTCAGCCTCCAGGCGCTGCCGGGTGCCAAACACGGGGTTTATTATTTACAGCGGCGTTCCACGCGCTCCCGGCCGCGATTGTCACTCGCGGGGACCGTGCCACACCCCGGCCTCCTCCCGGTGCCGTTCCAGGCTCAACACCGGGGCTGGAGGAGAGGTGCCGAGCCCGGCTGGACTCGCCCTTCCCCGCTGCCAGGGTGGGATCAGCCTCTGTTTTCCATGGAGGAGGAAAATCAGATCAGGGTTTGCCCCCAGCCCGGGCCTTGCTGGAGCGAGGGGAGGGGGAATGAGGCCAGGGCTGGTCCAGGGATGGGATCTTGGCTCTGGTGCCCTCCAGCGTGGTGATGATGCTGGCACTGGAGCCTTCATCCCTTTCCTAGGGGGGAAGCTCAGTCCCGGGGTCCCCTACAAAGCCAGAGGCCTTTGGGAAAAGGGGTGACAAAGGGACAGACCCTTGGGGACAAAAGGGGTGACAAAGGCCCTGGGGACAGACCCTTGGGGACAAAACCCCTGGGGGAGCCCCCGGGTGGGGCTGGGGGTGTGGCAGTGCTGTCATTCAGGAATTCCCCCAGGTGTGACAGTGCCACCCCAGGGAGGTGACACTGCTGCCCAGGGTCACCCAGGGGGAACAGGCCCAGGGGCAAAAATGGCCTCAAAGAGCCTTAAAGTCAGTGGCAGTGAGGAACAGCCCCCCCGTGACAGGGTTTAGGGGCTCAGAGTCCCCTCGGTGCCCCCCATCCTGCAGGAGTGGGGTGGGGACCTCTGGGGGGACACTGGGCAGGGCAAAGGCTCTTCCCAAAATCCAGGCTCTGGCAAGACCCCTGCCTGGGCTCTCTGCTGTTTCCTGCATCCCCCAATCCATGGGATTCCTGCTCTTCCAGAGGGGTTCCAACCCCCAGGAGCTGCGAAAAGATTTGAAACCACAGCGGTGGCACGTGGGGAAACCCTGCTGGGGCGGGGGAACCCCAAAAAAGCGTTCTGGGGCATTCCAGACCCCTCCTGGGCAGGGCCCCACGGGGGCAGGAAGGCTCAGGGCGAGCACCCCAGGAAACGGGGGGAGCACGTGGGGCTGATCCCGGTGATTTATCCCCAAATCCCAGCGCTGGAAGGGATGTGGGGAGCACGGCCGTGGCTGGGGCTCTTCCCGGGGAGGGGTGGCCAGGAGGTTGCAGTGCTGGGAGGGAGGGGAACGCCGGAGGGATGGAAGCTGTGCTGGGAATCCAGAGCTGGGAAAAGCAGGGGCCAGCGTGGCCGGCGGGAACTGGCAGCGTGTGTTCATCCCGAAGTAGCACTTGGTGAGTGAGTTTTGCTCAGTTTTAAATAACACAGACAATTCCCGGAGGTTTTTTTTTCCCTGTTTTCCCAGGTGTGGGTCGTGCAGTGAGGTGGGGGCTTTTCCAGCGGTGGGAAATCCTGCTGCTCTTCCTTGGGTGGGGAAAACATGGGCTGGGGGTACCAGGAGAAGGGGATGAAGCGGTTCTTGAGCCCAAGGAGGGGAAGATTGCAATCCAGGGAGGAAAAACCTCAGCTCCTCCTTCAGTGATCCCTGCCTTCAGCTCGGCCCCGTTCTCCTGGCAAAGCCATGGACAGTTTTCCCTGGAGATGAAGCCAGCGCCATTCCAGCAGAGCTTGAAACAGAAGGTGAAGAAAACAACCACGAAACACCCTTTTCTTCCTCAAATCGAGCAGATCTGGGCTCTGGTGGAGGAAATTCAACCCTTGGCCTGCGGTGGGAAGGGGCTGGAGCCCAGGAGGGAGAGGGGGAGGGAGGTGCAGCGGGAGTTCCCCAGACGGGGACCAGTCGCCCCGAGCTCGGTGGCCGCCCCAGAGACGGGGACGAGGGGGACGAGGTGGCTCGTGGGGCCCGGCCGGGTGCCGGGGGCTGGGGCCGCGCCTCGGGCTCCTGAGATCCAGGGATCCCACGCGCCCGGCCTCGGGACACTCAGGATTCGATCTTCTCCTTCTTTTTGCCTTTTTTCAGGAAAGATGGGGTCCGGAATTTCTTCTTCTTTTTGGAGGGCGATTTGGAAGGTGAACCGTCGGGGGACACGGGGTTGCTGGTCACTGTCTCCTTCTCCTTGGGGGCATCCTGGTCAGCGTTGGTGGTTGTCCGGTCTGTGCCCCCTTTCCCAAGGTTTTCCTCAGTGCTTTGCTCTTCCTCCTTCCCGTTCACCACCGCTGGTGGCTCCTTCTTGGCAGTGGAATCAGGGGGGGCTTGGCCACCATCGCCCTTCTTATCACCTTGGGGAGAGGGAACAGGGAATTGGGGCAGCAGCACGGTATTGTGGGGGGGTTGAAAATCCCCCTAAATGTCCAGTGGGGCCTGGGCAGGAGCAGGATTGTCCTCCACGAGCGGAGAGCGTTGGGATTTGATCCTGTCCTGCCACAGGCACCGCTTCCCCGAGCCCCCGGAGCCACCCCCTCCCTGCGGGACAAGCGATGTGGGATGGAGAGCCGGGAAGAGGCAGCAGGAGAAGCGGGGAGCAACAACAAGGAGGGATTCCCCAGGGGATTTCCTAAGGGATTTGGAGACCGAAGATCCCCCCGAGCCCGTGTCCCTCGTCCGGGGTGGCCTCTCCGTACTTACTACGGCGCCAGGGATTCAGGGGTAACTCCTTGGGTGACAGGCACACGGGGAGGAAAGAGAAAGGAGACGTTGTGGAGACAGACAGACAGACGGACGGACACCACGAGACACCATGGCAGAGCCAGCAGCCCCCGAGCCGCGCCCCGGCACCCGCCGCGGGTCGGAACAGTGGGAACGGCGCACCCGCCGAGCGTGGGGACTGGGGGCACAGGGTGTCCCCTGCACCTCACAGGGTGTCCCCTGCACCCCACAGAGGTGAGGGTGGGCACAGGGGTGTCCCCTGCACCCCACAGGGTGTCCCCTGCACCCCGCAAAGCCACCGGCAGACGCTCACGTCCTCCTGCCACGATCCCCGTCCGTCCCCAGCCCCTCTGGAGCAGGGTGACAGCACGAGGTGACACGAGGTGACAGCGAGCTGCATCTCAGCACGGTTTGGCCACAGCCGCCCTTGTCCCCCCAGTCCTGCTGCTCACTGGGACCCCAGCCCTCATTTTGGGGTGCTCGTCCCCCCACTCACCCTCCGTGGGCTGTGCCGGGGGCTCCGGAGGGGGTGGCTCTGGGGGGGGAGCCCCGCTCTCCTCTGCTGCCGCGTCCTTCTCGCCTGCGCAGAGAGACGCGCTGGCCCCGGGTGCCCTCGGCGCCAGCCGGGGCTCTCCGGGGGTTTTGGGGGTCTCTCCTACCCTGCAGGCGCTTCTTCCTCTCCACCTCCTGCTTGTACTCCTCCAGCTCCTGGTCCGTGAGCTGGCTGAAGGGGTTGGGGGGCTCCGGCTCCGGGGGAGCCTCTTCCCCACCCTCCTTGGCCTCTGCATCCCCCAGGTGGCTCTCGGTGGACTGAAACAGACCCAGGAGTGGTGTCACCTACCCCAGAGAGATGTCACCCCCCCGGGCAGTGTCACCTACCCCAGAGAGATGTCACCCCCCCGGGCAGTGTCACCTACCCCAGAGAGATGTCACCCCCCAGAGCAGTATCAACCCCCTCATGGGGAGATGTCACCCCTCCAGAGCGGTGTCACCCCTTCTGGAACTGTGTCCCCAGCCTCACCCCAAGCAGTGTCAGTCCCATTGGAGCAGTGTCCCCACCCCAGGCAGTGTCCCCACCTCAGCACTGTCCCCTCTGCCCTCGGGGCGGTGTCCCTGCCTGCCTGGTGTCACCTGTGCAGTGCTGGGGAACCAGGGATGGGTGCTCTGGGCAGGGGCACCTGGGGCTGGGCACGTGTGGCCTGGGACAAGAGGTGACATGGGCTGACATTGGTCTGGGGACAGTGGGGACACGGGGGTGACACAGGGTGTCTGTCCCAGGGCTGGGGACATGGGGTGACACAGGGTGACAAAGGTGACACGGGGTGTCTGTCCCAGGGCTGGGGACATGGGGTGACACAGGGTGACAAAGGTGACACGGGGTGTCTGTCCCAGGGCTGGGGACACCGGGGACACGGGGTGTCTGTCCGAGGGCAGGAGACACAGGGTGACATGGGTGACACAGGGTGACACGGGGGCCATACGGGGCTGCGGCTGCTCTCGGCGATGACGCTGGCCAGCAGCTGCGACTGGGGCCCGGCTGACTTCACGTCCTGGCGGTTTTGCTCGCGGATCTGTGGGGGAGGACGGGGCTCAGTCCCCCCGCGAGGACAGGACGAAGCCCCCCGAGCCCCCCCTGTGCCCAGCCCACCTTGTTGCGCATCTCCAGCACCTCCTGCGGGTCCGTGTAGAGCGGCACGAACTGGTTGGGGTTCTCGATGCGGATGGGGGTCCCGCTGCTGCCCTTCTCCACCTCGTCTGCCCGCAGCCACTGCAGAGCCAGAAGGGGTTTTGGGATTCAGGAGACCCCCGGGATAGAAAGGGGACCCCCACAAATGCAACTTGTACAAGGAAAGTTACAGCCAGGCTAGCGCTGCGCATCAGAACCCACAGGTGGGATGATTACTCCTGGTTATTTATTTATTTATCTGTTAGCAGCTGGTCTGACATTTTCTTTATTCTGTCTTTGTACAGAGGGAAGACCCCAATAAACACTCCCTGCATAGAAGGAAGACCTGACTAAATTCATCATACATAGAAGGAGGAGCCCAATAATAGAGGAAGACCCCAAAAAAAGCAACTTGTGTGGAGGGGAGACCTTGATAAACAGGTGTTACATGGAGGAAAGACCCCAATAAATGCATCTTGCACAGGGAGAGACCCCAATAATAGAGGGGAGACCCTTATAAATAGGTCTTGTGTAGAAGAGAGATCCAAATAAAAGCATTTTATGTAGAGGGGAGACCCTGATGAATGTGGGGAGAGCCCAAACAACACATCTTGTCTAGAGAGGAGACTGCAATAAATAAACATCTTACGTAGAGACCCTGATAATAAAGTGGAAACCCCAATAAATGAGGAGACCCCAATAAATGCATCTTGCACAGAGGGAAGACCCCGATAAAGCCAACACCACTCACCCCCACGAGAATGGGATGGTGGGATCCCAAAATAATCATCATTACAGGAAGCAGGTGGTGCCTGGGCCTCCCCACACCCCCGATTTTATTGGGATCCACAACCAGGACCCCCTCCAGCTGCCCGGCCGCCGATGCCCAAGCCCCGCTGCCCCTCACCGTGGTCTTTGTCCTCTGGGCGCCGGCGCTGCCCTGCGCCTCCTCGGCCAGGCTGACCCTGGTGTAGGTGTTGGGGGTGTTGAGCCACCTCGTCTTCTCCTTCTGCTGCTTCTGGGCGTGCTGGCGCAGGGCGGGGGTCCCGGCGGGCTCCTCCTCGAACACGAAGGCCGTCACGGTGGCGGGGATCAGCACGTCGCTCTTGGGCTTGCTCTTCTCCTGCACGAAGGGGTAGCGGTACGTGTAGCCCGTGCGGTAGCCCTGCAACACATGGAGAGGGGAGTCAGGCACGCGGGGTAAACCGAGGCCTTGGCTGGGGCTTTGTCGCACACAGGGAGAGATATTGGAAAAGCAAAGATTCATAAATTCCCGTAAAGAAGAATTAGAGGGATACGAAAACAGCCAGCGCTGTTTAATAACCTATTTTAGTGAAAGAACCTTTTGCACTTGTATGAATTATAGGTCTTGTCCATGGGGCTCAGTGAACAAGGTATGTAAACATCTCTAGAAAGAGAAAATTTGATGACGTTCAACAGCCCTTGCCAAACACTGAGCTGGGCTTCGCTGCACT